TGAAAGCCCAGGGCAGGAGAGCAGAGCCCAGGAGGAGCTCGGGGACCTGCAGGAAAATGACTTTGTGGAAGAAGTGTGGGAGCAGGAGGAGCCGGAGCTGGAGTCAGGAGAGGAGCCCTGGGGCGGGGGGGATGATGGCAACGGCCAAAAACCCCGTCCAGAGGACTGGGAGGTGACAGCAGAGGACACAGAGGGGGCTTTGGGGACAGAAGAGCCAGCCTGGGCTGATAACACCCCAACAAGCGCCAGAGGGCTGGAAAGTGAGGAGAGAGACGGCACGTCGCCGGCAGAGCTGGAGGAAACCCAAGAAGATGATGAAGAAGATGCCGAGAGCCAGGGAGTGAGCCAGCAGCAGCCACTGCCGGAGACTGAACCGGCCCCGGAGCTGGCAAGGGATGAAGAGGAGAGCACCGCAGGGCCGCCCGCCCAGGCACCCACCGATGTCCCTGGGCAAGGGGATGGCCAGGAGCCGGCCAAAGCTCCGGAGGAGCCCTGGGAGGTACAGGATGAAGATGCTGACGATGAGGTCGGCTCAGAGCCGGGACAGCCGGAGAGGAGCAGCACCGGCCCTGCGGCACTTCAGCAGGCACCAGGTGATGGCACGGAGAGCGGTGAGTTGGCGGAGGAGGATGCCGGGCGATCGGGAGAGCTGGAATGGGCAGCGGGAATGGGCAGGAGGGTGGAACTGGAGGACACGCTGCCGGACAGCACGCCCTTGCATCTCTACGAAGGGGAGATGCTGGCTGCGGTCGCACCCAGCCAAAACCCTCCCGAGATTGAGGAGACCACAGAGACAGCCCCTGCATCCGAAATAGCTCCGGAGGGTGAAGGATGGCTGGAAGGGAGGGACAAGCCATCAACCTCCCCCGTGCCGGAGAGCCAGGAAGAGGAGGCAGGGATGGAGGTAGACCTTGCGGCAGAGGGGACCGAGGAGGAGGAAGGCTATTTCATGGTCTCTGTTCCCAACCAAGAGGCGAGCGGCTCGGAGGAAGCCGAGATCTCCGAGGAATTTGAAGAAATTAAAGTTGAAGTAACCGAAGGCAGCAAAGAGGATCTGGAAGTTCCCAGAGAAGCATCTCCGGTGCCAGAGGACGAAGGGCACTTGGAGGCGTTTGTTGGTGAAGCAGACGAAGACGTGGTGAAGATGCCCACAGAAGAACCGGAGATGCCGAGGGACGAGGATGAGGATGATGCTGGGGGTTTTACTGCCGAGCTGGAGGAAGGCCCAGCTGTGCCCGAAGCAGATCCCGGCTCCCCTGGGGCGGCGGGGCCGTTAGCAGGAGGCTCTGACGAGCCAGCCCAGGATGCCGCAGGTGCCGGCACACACGAGGGACCAGGACACTCGGTGAGTTTGGCTGCTGAATCGGACGAGGAACTCGCCGGCACAGTCGAGGTGGAGAGCGATGCCGGCAGAGCCAAAACACTCCCAGGTTACAACCTGGGGCAGGTGGGGCAGGAGGAGGAGGAGGAGGAGGAAGAGGATGAACCTGGCACGGCTCACCACGACGCGGCCGTGCCCATCCCTCCGGCAGAGCTCCAGGCCCAGGTGATGCCGGTTTCTCCGCTGCCCGACCAAGCGGAGCAGACATCGGATGAGCAACCGTCTGTGGAGGAGGAAGCACCGGCTGGTGACAGCCTTCCCTCAGCTGGGGACGAGGGGACCCCCGAGGCCCTTCAACCTCTGCCGGGCTCCGTGCCGGAGCAGGGAGGTTTTCCGGAGATGATGAAAGAAAGCCCAGGCACGGCTGATCTCTCTGCAAAGGTGCCGGCGGATGTCATGAAAGACTCGGATATTTTGGAAATAGTTGAGCAAGCCCTGGAGTTCAACCAGGAGTTGGTGATGGGGGTGAGGGCGGCCGAGGGTGGGCAGCGGGATCCCGGTGGGACCGAGCTCTCCCGGGATGCTGAGGAAGACTCCTCGCC